ACATGGTCGGGTGAAGTGGACCCACTCCCAAGGCCCAGGGGACAGGGCCGCGTGCTCATCTCCGTGAGTCTCATGAGGAAGGCCTTCCACGGACAGCCATCAGGGTCTTGTTCACAGCTGCAAACCCTAGGTGTCCACAAGGAAAGGATTAAATGAATTATGGTACAGTCGCACAACTGAGCATCGTAGAGCCATGCAGTGAAAGAAACACTTACAGAATTGTATGTGTGTTATGATTTACATTGTATCACTTTTATATATGAAGAGGATGTTGATTGAATTGTTAACTATGGTTGCTTCTAGAGGTGGAATTCTGCATTACTTTCAGTTTCTTAAACTATTTTATGCTGCTTAGAATTTCTGTATATTACTTTTATAATCAGAGAAATAAAGCTATTTTCACTATAGCAGAACAATCCGGTGCATCCTTTTTTTTTTTAACCAGTTAGGAATTGTCACAAAAGCCTTTGCCATATTTTTCCAGTGTGCGTTATGTGCTTGTTTGGCTCACATGATAAGACTTTTGCTGCGCTCAGCGAGTCTGTGAGATTCTCACCTGCATGAGTGGTCTGTGCAGAGTGTCGAGCCGGTTGAAGACTGTGGCACAGTCACCTCATTACTCGGGTTCCTCCCGAGGCTGAAATCGCAGCTGTTCCGGGGTGAGTTCAGATCGAATGCTTTGCCACATTCAACACATTTGTAAGATTCCTCTCCATTGGGAATGCTAGGGGGACTGCAGGACTACAGGTGGGAACCGGGACTGAACACCTTGCCACGTTCATTGCATTTGGCAGGTTTCTCTCCAGCTTGGATTATTAGATGTTCTGCGAGGTATGATTTACAGCTCTTTTTTTTTTTTTTTTTTTTTTTTTTTGAATGTATTTAATACAGGGTCTGCAGGGTTTACAGGGTCTCACTACACAGATCGGATTGTAGTGCTTCTCCTGTTTTTCATCCTCCCAAACGCTGGGGTTACAGTCGCATGCCACTATATCCAGTCTCTACAACTGAACTCTTCACTAAGGTCATTACATTTGTATCTCTCCAGTATGAATTCTTGGGGTTTTTTTGCTCTTGTCTTTTTTTTTTTTTTTTTTTTTTTTTTTT